GAAGAGAGTGTAACATGACATCATGGGAGATAGCCTCATCAAGTAGTGCTCCCAACAAGTCCAAGCGTTCAAATAATCGCATCATTGTTCGCAAATGGGCTTTCAGTGATCCACCTGGGGCGAGTTTGGCATTAAGTAGCTGAGTTCGAGTATTATAAGAATCAACTCTGAAGCCTATTCTCCATGGGTTGTTGATCCTCGCAATCGAATTAACGATATCAACAACATTTTCATCTTGGATACCATTCTTATAAGTTCGAACCTTCCCTCTACAAATGTCACAAAGGTGCTTAAGCAACATGTAGGGTTCATAACTTACAAATCTCGCACTCCAACTACTTGGAATCGAGTTTAGCATGAGCTTAAGAACCATCTTAGCGTCCGAAACATATTTCGAAACCAGCTCAGTAGTCATGTCTTTGTCATGTTCACTAGGGTAAGGACGATCCAAAGGATATTCCATATTGCGATACCTTAGAACAGTTCTTAGGTTCCTTTCCCAATCAAGAAAATCTCCCAAATTCAATTTTATGTACAACTTGCTTGGAATAGAGGAGTTGTTGTTGTTGTTAGACATGATATCTACAGACAGAAAATAGGCAAAGTTCAATTTTATGTTTATAAAAGCACCTAAAACATGCAATAGTTTCTAGGTTACTTAGCACTCTATTCAATTTTATTGTCCCAATTTGAATAAGTGATTCCAAGATCCTATCAACATGCAATGTTAAGCAGACGGAGGCATTTTCTTAAAATTACATTTTCAAGGTAAGTAAACTCTTTACTAATTATAACATTTGTAATTCTTGGTTAGACAAAAAAATATCTCATGCTTAACTGTCCCTTTGCTTCAAAATCCAAAATGCTTTTGATGATTTTGTTGAGGTTAACCAAATTAAGTGTGCAAAATTCGCAATTTCACCTCACCTCCCAAAATTAATAACAATACCCTGCGGAGGCATGACCTATTACTATTAATTAAGGGTTAGTAAGTACTTTATATTTGGAAAAGTAAACCTCAATATTTGCGGGACCTAAGTTTATTATGTCGTTATTAATTAGTGAACTCTAGCGCATTGATAACATACATACAATAAACTTATAAGCATTTTAATAATAATAATAAAATGCAAAATTAAATATGAGCTAGTATGGCCCCTAATCCTAAGAACTAAGCCTGAAAGGGCACCTCCTTGGATTCTTCATGGATCTCCATCCACCTTCATCATGGGCCTTCTCATCTGGGCTCTTCTTTGGATTAATTAAGAATTTAAATAATTAAACTAATTCCTAATTAAATAAAATTACAAAAATACTTAATGATACGCAGATTGTATTTAAATTACAAAAATACATAAAGATACGCAGATCGTATTTATAATTTAAATCTAGGGCCATACTAGTCATTTATAGCAATAATATATCATATATATAAAAATGCCACATAATAATATCACATATTATACTTGCCAATAATTAAAATATCATATATTCTTAATTATGGTAAGTGGATAAATCAATTAATTAGGAAATCCTAGAATATAAATCATATTTGATAAACTGAAATCCTAACCACCACAAAGATTTTATCCTAAAAATAAGTTAACCAACTAATTTTAATTAGATTAAAAAATCAAATTATGTAATTATCTTATAATCAAGTCAAAACAACCTTAATTGGAATTGCTCAAAATCCTCCTAATAACAGTTTTTCAATATTATCCAAAATAAATAAATTAGGATTTTTTTTTTTTTTTTAATTTTTTTAAGAACTGAAAAACAGGGTTGTCGTGACTAAGCTTGCTGCCCAGCCACGTCACAACCGCAGCAGCAGCCATGCCGGAGCCCAGCCACCACAGCAGTTGGCCGCCGCAGCCAGGCAGCCGCCCAGCCACAGCAGCGCTGGCTGGCGCACCAGGCAGCAGCCCAGCACACCAACCAGCAGGGGCAGTGGCTGGAACCGTGCAACAGTTGCACGTTTCAGCCACTGCCCCCTCCCCTGAACCTCTAGCTGCTGCCCTCCGCCATTTCCGACCACCGAAGCAGCCACCGTGGCCCACCATTAGGTGGTTCTTCCACCTAGCCGTGGCTGCTCCCCTTCAAGCAATTTATTATTTTTTTTTTGTTTTTGAGTTAAATTAATTTTACAACTTTTGCAAAATTAATTTTGGTGATTTAATTATAATTAAACACAAACTCCTTTATGCATAATTTCAGAAAAAATTAATCAAAATCTCCATTTTAATTAATTTAGGGCTTTTCATATAAAATAATTCTCAGTTCATATAAAACCAATTTTACATGAATTAATTAATCATATCTAAACAATTTTAAATATGAAAAATAGATTATATTATATAAATTTAACAATTAAAATCGAAAATTTGGGTTCATAACAATTAAAATTCGAAATTAGGGCTTTAGGGTTCTTTAAAAAATATGGTTAGAGGCTATTTGAGCTATTAAATTCACAATTTAATCAATTCCAATCAATTAAAATCATATTTTAATAAGGTTATTTTAATCCATAATTCAATTTCTCCCCTTAATCAAATTAAAATTAGCCTAATTCACACATCAAAATAATCATATTATTGTGACCAGTAAATTATATGAAAGGGGTTAACTGATACCACAGTAGGGTTTTAGGTACTCTAAGCGGAATTTCGTGAATCTCATTCATACACACCTAAACAGGATCTCATGCATATACAAATAAAGGATCACATAATAGTTTAGAATTAACCTTTGAAGCGTGAATCCTCTTAGCAATTTACTTCTCTACCGGAGATAAAGAGCCTCAATTGTAACTCCTCTATTTGGTCGACCGGATTGAATCAATACTCCACCAATGCTATTTGGACGGGAAAAACCTTTCACCTTTCTTGGAGTTGAGAACCAATTTTAGAGAGAAAATATTGAGAGAAAAACTTATGTTGTTTTCAGAAAACCGAATACTGTGTTATTTTATTTTCCCTATAACTAATTAATATATAATCATATTATTATTAATTAGGTTAGGGTTTTTCTCTCCCCTTTCCCTCTTTGGCCGGTCACCCACTTTGGGCTTCGGGTTTCTTTATTGATCCAAGCCTAATGTGTGACCTTGTAGGATCCGTTTAGGCGGGCTTTTGTCACCCAAAGTTCTATAGCATTCTCTAGCAAGACGAATAGACGACCTAAATAAACGAATTACTATCTCCATAATACGATCCATAATTATATTAAGTAATTGCACTAAAGTCGAGGACACATTTCCTTGTATATTATTAATTGATTTAAAATCCATAGCTTTGGCTCAAAATAGAAGGATCCTAAGTTAATGACAACGTAGTTCTTAACTTGATCCTTAACTAAATTAAACTTTGTAATTTAGTAGATATGGTCCTAAATTAATCATAACTTCCAGGCTCTTACCTTAGACATAGCAGAACAGGCTATCTCCATGAGCCTACCATGCATAAGGAAGATGATTTAGTTGCTAAATTAAGTATGTACATGTTTATTCCTTTGTTGAAGCCTTCAGCAAAACTATGTGGCATGCCAATCCACATCTGTTCCAAGGGATCTCCAGTTGAATGTTAATCGGGAGAGACATCTAACCATACATTTCAGACAATGGGATCCATTCAACTAATAAAGTTAAAGATGTTTGCTTGTTCACTTCCCCAGGTACTAATGCATATATGTATAAGTAAGAAAGATGATTGCAGCCAATAAGTAAGAAAGATGATTGCAGCCAATAAGTAAGAAAGATGATTGCAGCCAATATGAAAAAAAAAAAGCCTACTGAGCATGAGGGGTCAGTTTGAGATTGTTGTGACTGAAGTGCTATTGGCTAGTCATGCTTTGTCTATTGCTATGGAAGCGGGTCTTTCTCACATTGTGCTTGAAGTTGATAATTTGAACCTTTTTCATAAACTGTACAACAAAAAACGTGAGAGCTCGGCTTTGGGTGTTATTGTGAGTGACATTTTGTACTTGGGCAGCCTTTGATCTTCTATAAAATTCTTTCATGTGGGGAGAAGGGGCAATGGGGTTGCAAATAAATTGGCTAATGTTAGTAGAGAGTAAGGCTATGAAACGGGTCGTGTCGTGTTGGGTTCGTGTCAACATTAAATGGGTTGATAAACCCTTGACCCAAATCTAACCCATTTATTAAATAGGTTGAAAACCCTTGACCCAAACCTAACCCCACTTATTAAACGGGTTAGCCGTGTAACCTTTTACCCACTTACTTTATTAATTCATACAATACATTATATAATTTAGTACTTAATAAACTAATTAATATTCATATTTAAAATTTAAAAAGACATATTTTATCTTATTAAATTAAATAAAATATTAAAATGCCAGGGTGAAGGAAAAATGGCGTAAGAATTGAGGGTGAGTGACTAAGGGTAAGTCAAAACTATAGAAGACTTTTAAGTGAAAGAATAGTAAGATTTGTCCGCCAAAACAAAAATTTTGCTCACTAAAAGTTTTTACTAAAATATTTATACTACCAAATTAAGTAGTTAGAAGGATTAGTAAGGAAAATTCAATTATTTCGACTACTTCAATAGTCAAGTTAAGCATTCATGTCGAAATCAGGTTAACGGATGTTCATCCCATTAATATAATCGGGTTATGTGTGTCGATTTCAGGTTGAAAATTTCAACCTAAACCTAACCCGTTTAATTTCGTGTCGACCCAATTGCTTAAACGGGTTGAGAGTTCTTGATCCAAACCCGCTTATTTCATGTCGGGTTATCGTGTCGTGTCAGCTTTTCACATCCTTAGTGGACAATATGATAATCTTAGGGTGTGGATTGAGGAATAGTGTAGCTGCTGGCCTGCTGCTATTGCTTATGATGTTCCTTAAGTTTTTGTTCTCCTTTAAATAAAGGTTGCAAAAATTAAAAAAAAAAAAAAAAAAAGAATCCATATTCAAACCCAAATCCAAACCCAAACCCAAACCCATCAAAACGGATTTTATTCTAGCAGGTTCAAAAATCGAAGACCTAGTCCTATAAAATGGATGAGGATCCATTGAGCCGGATTAGGATCTATTGACATCTCTAATTTAGACTAGAATCAAACATTACTTTTACCAAATCTCAATTACCAATCTTTCAAAAAAAAAAAAAAAATCTCAATCACCAAAGTGCCCTTGCAGTATTGTTTAAAACTTCAAAGATACGGAGTAGTATTTACGTAGTATTTTTTTAACACCGCCCTTTCGATTCTTAACTACAAATAGGCACCCCTTTCCACCGATCCAACCCTCACACACAGAAACCCTTAAAAACAAGTGTCTATTTCGAAACCTGTAGATGGAGGACACGCAAATTTCGCTGCAATTAACGAGCTGTACATATCTACCTCTCGTTCTTTTAATTTCCAGTTTATATTGTAATTTTAAACCTAGATATGTTCAAAGTTACAATTTTTAATTTGGTTGTTACTTGTTTGTTGATTGGGTTTAAATTATCAATATTTATCAACTTTTTTCAAAGATGTTTTTGCAAATAATTTTCAAAATTTTGAAATTTAATTCCAGAAAACCTCTCTCTATATATCAATTTAGTATTTTGTCCACACATGTTTTGAGAAAAGTCGTCAAAATTATGAAATTCCATGGATGTTTCGGCCTCTTAAATTTGGTTCCAGAAATTCTAATCTCTAACTTTTGTCAATTTAATGTTTTTCCAGAGATGCTCTCTTTGACGCAATGTCTGCCCTTAAAGATAGTGTCGTAGCATCTAAACCGTAAGCTCTGAACTTTGCGTGTATCCTTCAATTAATTCGCAATTTATATTAGTTATTGAGAATTTATTCTAATGTTTGGTTTTTTTCAGTGACAAATCTGATGAATCTCCTCCAAAGAAGCGTCTCCGTTACTACTCATCCGATTCCGATGTATCTGATGATGAAGGGTGCGTTTTTGTTATCAATCAATCCCGTCTTGTTGAATATTTTTCCACTTGCATTGCTAAGATATGATCGTTATTTATGTATGTATTGCAGGCTACTATGTTTTCATTTGTATAATACTCGACTTGTTTAGTCGATAACATGTTTAATTTGTGTAGACTTCTATTCTATACATGCTCCAAGCCTCTAATGTTATATACGTAATCTTTGTTTGATGCCTACCGTCTTTTATTCTAATGTTATATGGATACTTGTTCTATGTGTGTACTTTGGTGAGTTAATTTTTTCCAATGTTATATGGAGTAGTTGATTCACTGTCCTCCCCTTCTTCCATTCCCTTGGTATTTGATGTGTTTACTACTCTACTTTGGTGAGTTAATATTGTTCCAATGTTGTATCGAATACTTAAGCGATCCCGCGAGGGTGAGCTAACCCCAAAAACCCGTCCTCAGTTCGGATTGCAGGCAATGTGTCTACTACTCTACTTTGTTGGTGAGTTTCAATGTGTCTACTATGTTTGGGTGAAATTAACTTGAATTATTTGCACAAGTTATTCAACGAGTGCTGAATTAATCCGTACATAGTTCATATCATTACATTTGCTCATATATTTCAGCCTGTAGAATTTAGCCATATGTATTCACTCTTAATGAACTTACTTGATTGGTTTAATCTGTTAGTTGGTGTTGTGATCATAATCTGATGATACTTGACGGCAGGTCTGCAAGAGACGAGGATAATTTTGCAGTTTTTCGTAAAATGGCTAAGGAGGTGCTGAAATATTACAATTCGATTCACAAGGTTTTGCTTCATCGTCTCTCTGTTGTTTTCACTTATTTGTGTTTCCCTAGTTAATATTGTGCTGATACTTTTTTGTTGCCTATGTATATAGGATGCTGATTATGAATGTGTGGTGATTGTTGCACAAAGTCCGTATATGGGTAGAGGACGCCGGGGTTATGGTGTTCATATGAACTTCTTTGCTCGTCAGAAAGACAATGATTCTTCTCCAGAGCTATTTTATGCTGATATGTTCGGTTGTCGTTCAGAGCGAGAGATTAAGTGTTGTATTCTGAATCCCAGTCCCATTTCCTTTGGTACGTTTAATCTTATGTGGGCTTAATGAATCTGATGAACAAAACACGACCTAACTGTTTACTTCGCTTTGTTTTTCAATTGTAGTATGTCTAAGGCACTAAAATATTGGCATTCTTGTGCATCTTTTTTTCAGATGAATTTGTCCCCGGTATTGGTCCTAGTCCATGGGTTTATCATCCTCCAAATGTAAAGTGTGCGGATTGCGAGGCTATGGCTGAGGTGATGGCTAAGTATGAATTCAAAGACGATGATGATGATGGTATTGATATGTTCTAATCTAGGAGTGAGTATAATTTACATCCTTGTGTAAGACGGTTGTATTTAGAGTAGTTGTTTATCACTTTCTAATATCTCACCTCTGAGATGCCCAAAACTGTTCTAGCATTCTCAAAATTCAAAGACTGACTGACTGCTTTGTTAAATAATGGCGATCTTTTATCATTGAAAGAAAATGTATCACTTATCTCTAAGACTTATTAACTTATTTATGATGAACCAATTGAATATTAATGGTGATAGAGACTGCACTTATAAAGGAGGACTGCGTGTTTGATCTCCCATAACATCACTTGAGAGGGGATTGAAATTTAACCATCCATATTTGAGCCCCGAATATGTATTAGTCCAAAGGGTGACTAAGCTAGGTGGAACACCAGAAAGAAAAAAAAAATTATTACAAGATGGACACCATTTTGGTCTACCTTTTTATTTGCAAGCATGAAGAAGCATTGTTGGGCTCTAATAAGTCCTACAACTTACTGGCTCTGATCAGTTATGTGAAGGAATTAAACTAGTAATCTCCGGATGAAATCACACTCAAAACCTTTCCATTAAGCTTGTTTGGCTCTGCAAGTCGCCATCTCTTACAAGTTACTACCTCGTGTGAGCCGGTTGTATCATTTACATCCTCGTGTGAGGCGATTTTATGTAAGCGTGCTGATTATGATTATGTTAGTGCTGTGAGGAAGCATCCAACGCCTTTTTAGATTCTGCTTCTTTGAGTTTGCAAAGAATGACCGTCTGCTATGTTAATACATACGGGTATTATTGTATCAATTTCGCTTTAGAAGAATTACTCAGTCATACTTGTGGAAAGAAATGGAGGGAGGTGCAAGGGAGGGAAGGGAAGAGAAGAAGGAGAGTGAAGAAGGATGACTTTTCTTTCCAAATTTCTCTATTATTAGAGCATGGGCAATAACATCATCCTCATCCTCTAATATACTTTATCTTTTATTCTTGTTTTGACACCTCATTTTCTCTTTCATATACTCCACTTTCCACTAACTTCATCCTTTTAACTATTTTTCATCCTCTATTTCCCCCACAACAATTACGGATCCTCTTTCTCATCCTCCTCTTCCCTCTCCTACTTTTTACAAATATCCCATTATATATTTTGTCAACAAACATTTGTTACATTATTTTTTTTTACTGAAATACTAAACTCATTTATAACAAATTGAAAATAAAAATAACAATAAGACGTTAATTAGAATTAATAACATTAAGGCGTTAATTAAAAAAATTCATCAAAACTTCTAATATTAAATAACAAAGTTAATTCGATAAAGAAACGTTAAAATGCAAATAACATAAACTTTAAAGTAAGCAATTTGTTAAACGTAGATTATGAAATAGATCCTTGATATTTTCTCCATATATGTTCCAAGTCGTTCTTCAAGCGCATATGCATTTGTTTATTCCGAAGGTCTTCCCTCCTTGCCATAAAATGATTTAAATTTCGCTCTGTGAACTGCCGACGAGTAACAAGAAATGGTCCCTTAGCATTTCCAGTTGATGAACCGGCTACATTTTCCGGTTGTTCCTCAGCCAAGTCATCACATGGGTCTCTATAGTTTTGATATGATTCTCGTTCATCTTCTACAATCATGTTGTGCATGATAATACATACCATCATAATTTTCCATAGTATCTCAGGGGTCCACACCAATGCGAGATTACGAATTATAGCAAACCTTGCTTGTAATACCCCAAAAGCACGTTCAACATCCTTTCTAACACTCTCTTGTCTCTTACTAAATAACTTTTTCTTAGCTTTTTGAGGAGCTGTGATAGCGTCCATGACACCTGCCCACTTGGGATATATACCGTCGGTAAGGTAATAACCTTGAGTGTAGGTATTCCCATTCTCAACATAACTAATTTGTGGTGATCGACCATTTAACAAATCGTCGAAAACAGGTGAACGTTGAGTACATTGATATCTGTAGATGGAATATTTCAAGCGTTAATCCCTAGCTCAAACCCCACTGTGATCATACACTAAATTACGGTGGCGTCCAAAGGGAAAGAAGATAGAGCAAAAGAGTCGCCAACAAGTTTTTTAAGGAACTTGTAAACCATTCACGAGGTGAAGGTTACACCCCTTAACGATCCAAGAGATCGTCAACTCCATAAGGTCTTGAACCAAATAGGGTTCGGGGATGAAGGTACAAATCCAACCTAAAAGAGATTGAACCTGCCCTAATAATAGGCCTCTACTTTATTCTGATCGTATTCATGTGCGCTTTCTGACTAACATGAAAGCAATAGGATTAACCCTAAACCTGTTTATCTATGTTGGTTGAATATTTATGCACAAATAAAACTATTATTGACGATCACTTGAATTATAATCATATTAACCCAAACAAGATTAATAATTATCTTATTAAGCGTGATTACAAGTACAAATTCCCTTTAAACATGCATTAAAGGCGTGATCAAGCAATAACAATAAATTTCAAGCAACATAATAATAATCATCATAAATAATAATCAAAATTATAATTATAACAATTATATAAAAATAATTATAATTAAAATAATCATGTTAAAGCATAATAATAGCAAGATCCTAGGTATGATACTAACAAGATTAATAACAAACCCTAGCATGTCACTAAACAATAAAAATCAAATATTTAGCCGTAACATGATACTAACATGCTATTAGGAAAGAAAATAGGAAACATCGCAGAAATCGTAATTGTCATGTTTGATATTAAAAATTATAGTTATTACCCTAAACATGATACTAGGGAAGATCAAAACACCCTAACATGACGCTAGGAATCATAATAACAATCCAAGCAAGATTTCTATATCATAATATCAATAAATCAATTAAAGCACTTACTTGGGTGCCTCGTACCTCTTTCTAATAACAAAATACACACGTTAATAATTTCAAAGAAAATAATAAACAAAAATTAAATTAAATAATTGAAATAGAGATTTGGGACCAAACCCTCAGAAATTAAAACCTTTCACGTCTAGGGCGAAGACAAATTCGAATATGACCGTAACTTCCTCAGTATTCATCAGAATTGGGTTTATAATATATCGTTGGAAAGCTCTTTTCAAGCCCTATCCATCTACACTACTATTGGACCCGTATCATGGACCAACCAAACTGGATTGGCTGTTTTCTCAAAACAGGTTTTCAAAAACAGAGAGAAGAGAAAAGAATTTAAAACTTTCCGCAACACTAAACTTTCCACACTTTCACTTCATTCGATTATGATTTGACGTGAAAGGTACTCATCACTGGGTTTGGTTTTGGGGAGACACAAATGGGTGTCTACAGAAGCTCCCACTTTGACTGAGTTTGGAGAAACGCAAGTTTTGAAAACGAAAGTCAAAGTATCGATAGGGACGGAGAATGATTCAGAACGTTCTGCGGGATCCTAAATAATTCTTGTAACGCCGATACCTGCAAACTAGCGTTAGTTAAACAGATAAAAGAGTTAAGAAACGCGTATCTTGCACCGTCGAGCACACGTCTCTGAAATTAACCAATTTGCTGCCGCTTTACTGATTTTATGACCTTTTGCCAAGAGAATGTCATCCCGCTTGAAAACCGCTACGCTTGTAACTGCTTCCAATATAGAAGATTTCTTTGCTTGAAACGATCCTCTTCCTCTTTGTGACCATCTTCCACGTTTAAGGGAACATGATCGAAGACAACTTCGCTTGAAATCACCTTCAGTTGTTTTTGACAACTCTCCATAATCTAGGGAACGCCATCTTGCTGTTTCGATGTTCACTCGTCTATGAACAAAGAGCTTCTTTTTTTTTTGATATGTTCACGCGTCTCTGAGCAAAGAGCTTCTGAATGATATGACCACGCGTCTCTGAACAAAAGAGCTTTTATGACATGTCCACGCGTCTCTGAACAAAAGAGCTTTGAATGATATGTCTACGCATCTCTAAACAAAAGAGCTTGAAAGGATTGTCCACGCGTCTCTGAACAAAAGAGCTTGAAAAGATTGTCCACGCATCTCTGAACAAAAGAGCTTGAAAGGATTGTCCACTCGTCTCTGAACAAAAGAGCTTGAAAATAGGATGCCCACGCGTCTCTGTGCAAAAGAGCTTGAAAGAAATGTCCACGCGTCTCTGAACAAAAGAGCTTTGATGATATGCCCACGCGTCTCTAGAGCAAAAGAGCTTGATGGAAATGTCCACGCGTCTCTGAACAAAAGAGCTTTGAAAGGATTGTCCACGCGTCTATGAACAAAAGAGCTTGAAATACATGTCCACGCGTCTCTGAACAAAGAGCTTATTTTTTTTAATATGAACTTCTGAATGATGTGTCCACGCGTCTCTTAACAAAGAGCTTGATAATAGGATGCTCACGCGTCTATGAGCAAAAGAGCTTGAAAGAAATGTCTACGCGTCTCTAAACAAAAGAGCTTTGATGATATGCCCACGCGTCTCTAGAGCAAAAGAGCTTGATGGAAATGTCCACGCATCTCTAAACAAAAGAGTTTTGAAAGGATTGTCCACGCGTCTCTGAACAAAAGAGCTTTAATACTTAAATGTTTGTTGCGATAATATTCCAAAGAAAACTTCCGAAGACCAACGCTGGTCGATCTCTAAAACTCGCTTGAACTTTGCTTCCGTTATGCCAGTACGTTGGCGCTTTTGCTGCTTGTGAACCATTATGTTGGTGCCTCCGTGATGAGCCAATGTTTAGGCGCTTTAAGCTAAGTGAGACGACCTTTCGTTAGGTCGATCACTTATTGCGATTGTAATCGAACCGACTACTTAATCATGTCACATTGCTTATAGGGGCTAACTGGCGTACCAAGGAACCCAAAAATTGCTGTATGAGGTCGAAATCAACTTTCTGAGAGGCTTCGAGCTCTGTCGCTGCTGGAATATCTCTGGCGCCAAGAATTGACTCTGTCGCCAGACGCTGTGATCTAGCGCCAGACGCTAAAAACTATTGCCAGACGCTAGATGTTTTCGTCTGGCGCTGGAGTAGGGTCTTCCCTATTCTGCTGCACCTGTATTTATTTTTTACTATAGGACTTTGCTAATCTCTTTAATTATCTTAGGGTTGACCTAAGGCTTAGCGTTGCTTGACTCATTGACTTGACACGACTCAAGGTATAAACTTAACTCGCTGTGATTGACTCGAGGTTGACTCGACTCAAAGTTTTTGGCACATGTGTTAGACTTAAATCAAGGTGATATGACACGACATGACTCAATGTGTACATGACTCGTGTGTGCATTGTAATGTGATCGTGCGACTCGAAAATGCAAAACAGCAAAAATTTTCTGTCATTTTTGTGGAGGGTACCGACTTTCTCCCGAAAAAGAAAGACGCAAAAAAAGAATCAAAGTTTTTGAAGGTGCATGTTGAATGAGCTTAGTCAAATGTTGTTTGATACTATCTCTCAATGTGCAAGGATTAACTCATCCTAAGCTATCTCAATTGTTGACTCAATGATGAAAGTATTTGGTTAACTAAGCACGGAGGCTAAGCTCTTCATACTTCGATGCAATGATGAATATGATTGATGAGTGATTTTCACATGACAAGTCATGATTCAGCATTATGTTAAGATTTCATGACAAAGGGTTCCTAAGGGAAATACTATTTGGTCATGTATCTGTGATGTGTGTGAAAGTGACACTAAAGTTAGGCCACAAAGGCTAAGTGTGTGGAGAAAATATTGTTTTTAGAAGAGTAAATAATGGTGACTCTTAGGCTAGGTAAGCTAATAATGTAGGGATCAAGCCCCAAAGTCTAGCTCTAAATGAATAGGGATAAATATAGGGAATCCCTTGATACGATCACGGTGTAAGAGTCTGAATATGAATATGAAGGCATTTTTATTACGATCGCACCTCGATGTGAGGTTGCCTACGTATCCGTTAGGAATGAGGCCGAACGTAGCTCTAGCCGAACCTTGCACAAGTATTTGTATACCTCAAAAAGGTCTTTTTAAGGGTTGTAACGTGGTTAGGCTAAAGGTTATAGAAGAAGGGGATAAAGGCTCAAGACCCTCGATAATCCCCCCAAGGTGTGCAACCTTGCTTTTGAATCTTTATATTTTTATGCTTGAGGTTTCTTACTCTCTTTTTTTATTTCTTTTTGCTTTAGCATTTATCTTATTTTTATAAGTGTGGGCAATCTCGATCATGCAGTCTATCACTCACTTGGCATTCATGTTTCTCAGGCACGGTACCGAGCACTCGATAAAAGACGCAATCTGAGACGTGTTCATATCAAAGACATGTTCATGTCAAAGACATTGGAACACTTGCCCTTTTGTACACTTTTATTTATTATTTTTTTTATTTCTATTGCTTTTTATTTTTTGAAATCATTCAAGCTTTTTGTAATTGCATAAGTTACACACCATCCCATCCCAAAGTTAGGTAGATATGGGTTAATAAATGAATGGTCTATCGTTAGACGAGGCTCAAAGTGGTTTATCAAAAATAGGATTGCATATTTGAAGGGTGAAAGGTAATATGATGTGGCTACAAGGGGTGCCTCAAATCATTGGTATACCTTGTGATTAGTTTGACATAGATTTTTTTTTTTTTTATGCAATGCAATGTGATGTGATGATCATATGTAAGAGAATAAAATGCTCATTTTATTAAAAGGGAAAAAGAAAGATTCTACAAAATTAATCTAAGGGAAAAGAAATGTGCCTATGCTAGACTTATTGGGGAAAGGAAAAAATGAAAAAGAAATAGAAAAAGAGGTCATGAAATCTTGTCGTTGAAGCTCGCCTCTTGTCTTGTGTCGTTTGCCCCGACATCATCGAGTCTTCTCGCTAGCTAGAGGCAATGGGATCTTGTTTGCTTCTATGAGATCTTGAATGAGATTTTGAAACCTATAGCATTCATCAGTGGTATGACCGTTTCCTCGATGGTACTTGCAATAGGAGTTGGGATTCCATCTCGAAGATCGATTTTC